ACAACTAGCAAGCCGTAGGGAGAAGCGACAATCTAGCGGCAGCTACGGCAGGGACTAGCGGTAAGGGCGCAATTAACACTAAGGAAGAGGACGAGAGTATAGTGGACGATAAAGTTTCGTCGTCGTCGCCTAAACCTATCACCTAAACCCATACTAAGCGCGCTAAAGCCAGTCTAGACGATATAGCGGAGTCTCATAGAGGCATCAAACGACGCCGTCGTACTAATAGGAGCACGGTTCGGGCCATCACAGACCAGGGGACGGCAGCCTAGGGGACGGCAGCCTAGGGGACGGCAGCCCAGGGGACGGCAGCCTAGGGGACGGCAGCCCAGGGGACGGCAGCCTAGGGGACGGCAGCCTAGGGGACGGCAGCCTAGGGGACGGAGGACCAGACGATAGAGGACCACCCCATTTAAGAGGGATCCGTTAACGACTAGCCTATATAAGATACATCGGCCGTTAATGTTGCCGCCGGTTCGGTAGAAGCATCGAACATTAGAGAAGGGGTTTCTAAAGTAAGCAATAACGGCGAGCCCTATAGTGTAGAGGAGAATACTAAAATAACTAATATATCCTATTAGAATATTACCTAGTAGCCAGGAAACCCGCCCGTCCTTGCTATAAACTCGGCTCTAGTGTCGCAAGACCTCCCGTTATCGCTAGCTACGAGGCTAGCGTCGGTCGGACCACGCGCGAGGTGCTACTTCTTTATAGTGGCTAGTACGAGAAGTGCCGTGTCCTAGGCGTCTAGGCTGGTAGGTGTAGAGCCTTACTCTCTTAGTAGAGTGCTTTAGATGTAGATATAGGATTATATAGCTAGTATAGAAGGAGTAGATAATAGAATAATCGTCTGAGAGATAAACGGGTTGTTTGGTCGTGCCGACTGGCGCACCGTGGCCGGGACCCTACTAAGGCGGTACGCCTAGGTGCGCATAGCGCGGGGGCTATAGGCCCTTATCTTCGATAGTATGTCTACGGTTATCTAGGATAGTAGTAGGGTGCTCTCTATCCTTAATGCGGTAGGCATGAGTAAGAATGCCGCACGCTACTATATGGCGTAGGGACGCCGCCTAGACCTACTATCGTGTAGGCATGTCGGTATTCTAGCCCTATTGCCTATCTTTACCGACTAGCTATACGTCGACATAGTCGAAGGCATCGAGGTAATGCCTAGCGACGCTATCGCTAGGCTAGCGATAAACGACGCCGCTATCGTAGGAGACATATTGTAGTAGCATATCGATCTAGTCTAGTGCGACGTCGGCCGGGATATCGTGGCTATATTGTTTAACGGGGCCTAGAGGACGTAGAGATTAGAGGAGGCATGCTCTAAAGAGACGGCGCGTCCTATCGTCTTAGATAAACCCCGCGACCTATAGGAAGGAGATATATACGAGTGCGACTAGGCTATAGTCAATGTTTATAGGGCCGCTATAGAGATAACGATAGAAACCATAGAGTGAAGGGAGAGGGGATAATATACTAGTTACTTAGGCTATCGCTCTATTAAAGATAAATATACATTATATTAATATATAATAAGTGTTACGCGTTGAAGGACACGTAACTCTACGCTTAGATAAAACCTATATATAATGTAATAGTAAACTTCGGTCTACGCTACGGTTAAGGGTTACCCTAGTAGTTACTATATAAGTATATAAAGACTAATATAGCGTAACCTAGAGCTAAGTAGAATCACTATAAAATATATCTATATCCTCCCTAGGGAGCTATACAACGTAGCCTTTCTAGTCTACTATCTCCCTTACTATACGCTTCATATAAACCTAGTATATTATAATAGTGATATATATCTAAACACCCGTCTACCTATTACTGGGGTCTCGTGGCCCCTAGTGGCCGGGGTTGGTCGGGACCTTCCCGTTAGACGAAGTCAATATATCTTTAAACAATACTTTAGGCGCACTAAAAGCCTCACAATTCTAGATATTAGTGGTATCCCTATATTAGTAGAACCCTTCCCTAGTCCTCTATATATATAGAGGCTGCTTTAATAGTCACTTATCTCTAAAGTTAGGGAACGATATAGAATATAGAAGAAACAACTAGTAAAAAAAAAAAGGGTGTTATTACCGTTATTATTATTACTATTAAGATAGGCCTACTAAAACGTCTTATAGGTGTCGATACCCAGCGGGTAGCTGCTCTAATAGGTAAGTTAATACGGTGTTGTTTTAATAAATATATATAATACCCCTATGATTATATTCCCTATAGATTGTTCCTACGCTTTCTTTTATATTTAACTCACCTCTCTCTTATATTTATCGTTACTCTAGGCTTTCCTTTAGATCTTCCTTACATTTCGTTCACGTTATTTTTAGGGATATTAAGTTTTCACGTTAATATTTAGATATAAAGAGTCCGCTCTCTCCACGGTAACACTCTTAAACTTCCGTGCTGTATATCACGACTTATATATAAAACCTATCTATCGTCTTTTATCTTAAATACGATTAAAGGGTTTATATTAGCGTCGTCGATTCGAGAACGCTAGCAATTAATATACATTAGCGAGCATTAACTAAGTAGGCAGCGTCGTAACGTATCCTACTCCTATAATCAATATCTAGGCGGGCATACTAACCGTAAGATCTCTAGGGAACTAGATCAGCACGATAGGACAAACCGCCTAATTAGACGCAGAAAGATTAACTAGCGTACCTCTGCCTAGAGTAGTAAGTAGTATACTAGTATCTCGCCCTAAGCGGGCACACTATAAAGGCACGATAGCTATAGAACATTAGTCTAGTGCTAACGTGAAACTAGGTAGCGTTATACCTCCCCCGGGAGAGTGTGGTCTCGTCGACCGTGTATAGATAAACACGCGTGTCTAGATACCGGTCGTCCTAGTCATTAACGGCAAGATCCCTCGCAATATATACATCGACGCGCTAATAAGGCTGGGCGACTCTAGAGCCCCTAGGCTCGTCGTTATAGCGCTCGTCTTCTCCGGCCCTAGGTCCCCCCAGATAGTGCAGCTCTACTTCCGCCTAAGGCTTAGGAGCCGCCTATTTATAGTAGCCTGACTCTATATCGATATATGCGCTATAGAGGACGTCAATATCGAAGACCCGATGCCGGACGAGAAGATTAGAGACCTCCTTAACTAGATACCCTCCTCCGTCGCCACCCCTAAGTCTAACTAGGCCCCTAGTACCACGAGCCTGCTAGAGCATGCCGAATAAAAGACTAGCAGTAAGTGCGATCCTCTCGAGCACGTTGCCACAATACGCGAGTTCGTTAGTAAGGGCGCCTTCATTAATATCCAGATCCTAGCCGGGGCTGCTACACTAGAGCCGTAGGCGTTAGTCACACGCCCTAACGCCACGACCACTAGCCTAATGACCGAGAGACATATCGTAGGTACGGCACGGGGTGTAATGAAGATGCTATAAGATATGTTCGAGGGTAACGACCGCTCGGTTGTGCGACTGGCACTCCTAACGCGCTAGACCCCCTCGTTCGAGGAGACGTGGTCTACGATACTGCTAGAAAATATCCTACGGGAGCCCTACGCTACCGCTATACACGACGTCTGCGATAACTCGTACCGCGATATAGACTTTATAACTATTAGCGTGGACGCCGAGGCGCGACGCCGCGAGCCGCTGCCGGCTAGCCTTGTGTTTATAAGCGAGGAGTACCGCACTATAGCCCTCGTGGCTACGTCCGTCGACGAGCACCTATACGAGCAAGCGGCCGTAGACGAATGTTTCGGGCACTAGTTTAACGCCGTCCTAGTACTAGTTCCCGGCCACACGTTTAGCAACGAGGAGGGCGACTTTAGCATCGACCCCACTAACTAGCCGATATCTTACCTCGCTATCGTGCAGCTAGGGTCGTGGGCCTCGAAGATCCCGTAGCTAGACGATAAGGTCGTGATAGTTCTTGACCTACTAATCTAATACCACGACGTGCCGGAGGGCCCTCTTAGACCGTAGGAGTAGGATAGGATAGCGCTCGCCGTAGAGGAGATCATCTCGTCTACTAAAGTGCGCGTACGCAACGCGGAGAATAACTATAGAGCGTTCCTATAATCTCGTGATAGCGACGACGATAACGATAACGATAACGGCTTCTCGTTCTAGGAACACATTAACGCAAGCTTCGAGAAGCACCTTAATAAGTTTATAAGCCGTTAGGCCGTAGAGTCTAACTAGCTATCGGCAGACAATAACGACGACGACGAGGCTATTATTATCGGTTATAAGGGAGCGCTAGAGGCGGTGCGCGTAGGTAACGATCTCCGCCTTCGCGACGGCGAGAATAGTGGCGACCGTATAGAGCGTATCTATAACTAGGTTATACGTTAGACGCGTATAGGGTATAAGCCGGAGGAGGACGACGACGACGAGTAGGACGCCCGTGCCTAGAAGGGGCATAGGCTGGCCCACCCCGTTGGCATCCACGCGGATATAGCCATCTTCTACGTATAGACACCTCGCTAAAAGGGATAGCCGCCGACGCTCTAAGCACCCCCGGTCATCGCCCCGCCACTATGCGCAATCGAGCCTAGTAAGACGCTTAGACAGATCCTAACCTAGGATCTAAACGGCCTCGCCACCACGCCGGCTAGGATCCTAACGACGATAGACCCTACTACGGCGGTCTACGAGTGTCGCGCGATCAACCGGCTAAATAACGTTAGGACCGGCTCGTCGATAGAACGTTAGTGGAGCTACTTATAGACATTCTCGTCTAGAGAAGCCCCCCTGGCCGTCAATCTCCACGTCTATATACCTGGCCTCTAGAGCGTGATCGATAGTGGCTACGTCTCTAGTGAGCACCTCGACGCCCTACGCTCTCTCGACAGCGTGGTAGATAGGCGGGTGTTCATATCTAGAGGCCCGGGGTCCGGGAAGTCGACGTTCTGCGGTTACCTCGCGGCAGCGATTCTATCGGCGGGAGCTCGACAGGACTAGTCCGGCAGCACCACCGCTACTAGGCGTAGGGTCGTCTAGCTTGCCCCCTAGAATCAGTAGGTAGACGACGCCGCCACCCGGCTTGCTAGGCGATGCCCCGCGGCCAAGATTGTAAGGGCCCTAGGCTGGGACGCGGAGATTAGCAATGTGCTCGGGACCCGCGAGAAGATAGACGTGACCGGCATCGGGCAGACGGACTATAGTATCGGCCGGCTCGTTAACGAGTATACGACGTAGCGGTATAGGGCCCGCGACCCCGGCTCTCACCCTATATCGGCGTCGTCGAGGGCCATTACTATAGTTGCTAGGTCGCCTAGCCACTACCGCGTTATCGCAGACGCACGACGAACAAGCAGGACGGAGAACCCCACCGCCTAGGAGGATAACGTTACCGGGTATAAAGAGGCCGCCCGGTCCCTACTCGTCTCCGTGTACGAGTAGGTAGATATCGTGGTGGCCACGCCGGTAACGATATCGCGCCTAACTGACAACCTGCCGGCCGGGTGGATAGCGGACCTCGTTATTGTCGACGAGGCCGCGCGTATATCGGAGCCCTCCGCGCTAATCGGACCCGCCTGCTTTTAGAACGCAGTCGTCGCCTTCGCCGGCGACACAGACCAGTTCGAGCCGTTCTACCGCGCCGATAGAGACCTCGACCTGTTTAGGCCCCACAGCCCAGCCTAGCGCCGGATGAGCCTACTGGCCCGCGCTATCGGCTAGGGCGCCCCCGCTATCCACCTCCGCGAGAATAACTATAGTAGCGGCGAGGCCTATCGGCCCGCCGCGTAGCTCTTCTATCGGGACAATATAGTGCTTATATAGCCACCCGATAACACGGCTAACGCGCTACTGGCCTGGGCGTCCTAGTTCGTGGTCGGGTCCCAGCCTACCTACTGGGTCGAGGTCGAGTCGGCCGCTGAGGAGTCGAGCGGCGTTTCCTTCATCAACCCCACCTACGCTACGTTCGTTAGTAGGCTCGTCCGATATATCGTCGCCCTCCGCCGCCGCAAGAGAGATGTCGGTATCGGCCGCGTGCTCGTTATTATACACTACTCGGCGTAGAAGCGACTCCTATAGTAGACTATGTCTGACCTTAGGGTAGACCCGTCCGACGTGGACGTGAGGACGACGGACGACTCGCCTAGCCACGAAGCTAACGTCGTTATCTATAATACCGTCCGTACCGACTCCGCTAGCTTTACTAGATACCCCTCCCGAATGGCCGTGGCGCTGACTCGCGCGCGGTGCATAACCTTCTATATATCGTCCACTAAGCCTATCGATCGTCGATCGCCCTATCTATAGGAGCTGCTCGCACACCTCCGCGCGTGAGAGTGCTTCGTGTCGGTGGCTAGCCCTCCCCCCCACGATAACGGCAGCGTCGATATTAGGAAACTATTCGTGCCCGCTATATAGGACGGGCTATCTATTAGTAACGGTCTTGTAGAGAGATAGCGTGCTTAGCTAACTCGCCCGCCTAAGCGCGGCGCGGAGCCTGGCGCATAGCGTGCTATGCGACGCCCTGGGGCTAACGGCAGTTCTAAGGTTAAGAATCGGCCTATAAAGCGGACGAGGGTGACGGTATCGGGAGCTATAAAGCTTATATCTATAATGTCGACTAATAGTAATAGTACGTACGAGGGAGATCCCTCGGTTTTCCACTATCGTGCGTCTAGCTAACGTATATATAGATGCCAACGACTAGTACCTATCCGAAGCATAGGGTACTGAGGCACCGGACCCTACGGCGTCTAGCTAGGGTAGGGAGGCACCGGACCCTACGGCGTCTAGCTAGGGTGGGGAGGCATCGGACCCTATGTATTCTTAGGGTAGTGACGCTATAGAGATCCACGGGGGGCAGGAGTATGTAGATATCTCGATAGGTGGATAGGGCGCCGAGCAGCCTACTACTATAGTCATCTGGCAGGCTTAAGACAAGTCGGACACCGCTATAAGCGGAAGCTATTAGTGAAATACGGTCTTAGTGTTTATCGTTATATAGGGTTGTATATAATAGGAGTTAGGTAAATAGAGGAAAGTATAATCTTATAAAAGAAATAAAGAATAACGACCCGCGGTTTAACGTTCACGTCCTATAGTCTTTATCCAACCTCTAGATTATACCGGTAAATGCCTAGTCTAGATGAAACGCCTCGAACTAGTCTTAGGCGTAAGCCTCTACTATAAGCATAAGTAGACGACTAACCTATCGCGTCCGAGGCTCTTAACAATAAGGTTAGTCGTAGCACGGCCGAATTAAATGCCTAATATATACCACCATTATCCTTATAGCTACCGTCGCCCGCGGGAATATATCTAAAGTCTAACCTAGCCGTTAAATAACGTTATCGGCGAGCTATAGAAGAAATAGGTCTAAAATCGCGATTTCCTTTAGGGTTATAACGCAATATATAATCGACGAAGGGCTGCTCTTAAGAGTACGATATGTCCTTTTATGTCCTAGTTCCTTGATTATAGCCCTAATATATAGGCCGGCGAGCTCGTGACTAATGTAGTCGAGGATTTGAGTTAATGTGGGCTATATAGTCGCCATTGCGGCTATTAGTAGAGGACAGTTCTAGGGTTAGAAGACGGCTATATATATAGGTTGTTAGGTCAATATATATTAGTAAGGAAGTCGTACATTATAAACGAGGCTATACATTAAGAAATATAAAACCTATACGCCGTCTCTTATTACGTAGGGAGCAGGCTGCTATATAGATCGAGGGGCAGGCGTCTAGACAATAGCCATGCCCTTGGCAACGACTAAGCAAATATAAAATATACGCCGAGTCTCATTATCTAGCAAGCCTATAGACGTAGTAAACACGGTCTAGGGGCGTGTAGCTAGATAAGCCTTATTATAGGCTGCCCTCTAGTAGGCATACTATCACCGGTACGTATTTATCTTAGTAAATATATATATATATCTATATACTGGTCGTTAGTCCTCTAGTATCTATATATAGGATTATGTAATATACCGCACGCTATAACGCTACTATTACCGAACCGACATTATCCCTCGCCTTATGTATATATATGTAGAGGGTAAATGATCAACCTAGCCGATTCATACCTATACTATCGCTATAAATAACGAGTCGAATAATAGACTGTAAGACAGCATTAATAGCAGCGGCGTGTACATTACAGTTAGCTAGTGCACGCAGCCCCCTCTAACGACGCCAGCTACTAAGGGGTTTAGATAGTATAATAAAGGCAATAGACATTTAGAGTATAGCAAGCCTAAATAAAGACTTAATACTACCTACTATACGGTCTAGAGCGGCTAGAAAGTGACGACGAGGACGAGTAAACTACGTATAGTTAATAGCATTATATATCCTAGTAGACGGGGGCTTCTATCCATCTATTAACTTATAAACTAATAGGATATTACATTTACGAGGCATATCCTACCGAAATATAGTCATCTATTAAATATAACGTATACGTATATCGGGGCCTACCCGTTTTTCGGCGTTATTCTATTTAAGCCATGTTAAGTTAGGTCAATCTAAGCTAAGTCTAGTGAATAACTTAAGTTAGGTCAAGTTAGGTCAAGCCAAGCTAAGTCTAGTGAATAACTCAAGTTAGGTTAAGTTAGGTCAAGCCAAGCCAAGTCTAGTAAATAACTTAAGTTAGGTCAAGTCAGGTCAAGCCAAGCCAAGTCTAGTGAATAACTTAAGTTAGGTCAAGTTAACCCCCCCCCCCCCCTAAAGTGCCCTTCACGGTAGACTAAAATAACCCCTACTAACACTTAGATTCAGACGATAATTACACTAATAATATAACCTCGTAGATATAGTATATTATTCGTGCTATCTAGCCTTTAATATATATATATACCTCCTATTATGCTTTTATTATCGCTAACGCCGTAGAACTACCGTTTAACGTATAGAGCACGCTATAAACTATAGGGAGGTTAAGGCCCGAGGATATAGTAGGAGGAGAGGGACGAGCACTAGGACGGCATCGCCCTCTTCGGCGGGGAGACCATCCTAGGATTCCCTATCGACTACGTAGGTAGGGGTGACGGCCCCGGCGCGACAATACGATAGCATACGTATATAGGACGAAGCTAACCGTCGATACTCTAACTATAGTTTGCCGTCCGCGAGAACGGACGTCTATACACGTTAGCGAGGCTTACCCTTAACATCGCTAGGGCGGGAGGCGTATATGTCTACGATAGAGGACTATAGAGGGGGGAGATAGATACGCTAGTACGCGGCGTATCCCACTCTCGGTACGGCGGGGGGCTATAGCGAGCGCTATATCGCTACGTCGTGGCGGACGTCACGCTCGATAAAGGCGTGGTCGCCTTCGAGCTACACTACCAGCTTAAGCGATAGCTAGGCAAGGCTATAGCATCCGTCGTAGGCATGTATAAGAGCGTCGTGGGCTTCCTATCTCGCCTTATAGAGAGCCTTAATAACCAGTCACGTCCG